AGCAGCGCAAGGCGAAGTGCAAAGCGGAGCGCGGGGCAGGTTCGGGCAGGGCCTCTTCAGAAGCCCCGTCTTCTCCAACCCCTGCACCGCAGGCCAGGCCTCCTCCTTCGCCAGGTGACCCTGCCCCCATGAAATAAGCTGGCTCCCACAGCAGAGGAAGCACCCCACCGGATCCCGGAACACAGGAAGTGTGTATGAAAGCGTTTTTTGTCTAACAGGTGGCACACTTAGAAAGGAGCAAGCGGCCCGCACGCAGGGCGGCCTCCCATAACCAGGCGCAAGTTCTGCTCAACCTACTTCCTCCAGAGCAGAGCTCTTGGCCAGAAGACAACAGATGGTGGAGGGAGCTTTGGTTTTAGGAGAAAAATCAAGGAAAGGCAAACAAGTGATTACAATTAGTCAAAACCTGGCCCAAACTCCAGCCAGAACTGCCTCTACTTCCCACACCTAAAACCTCAGGGKGAGGAAAGGGGCCATCACCCGAAGGGACCATAAAAGTGGTTCACCTGCTGGCATGGTGGTGCACACCTGTAATCCCAGTGGCTCAGAGGCTGAGGCAGGAGGAGTGTGAGTCCAAAGCCAGCCTCAGCAATGGCGAGGCACTAAGCAACTTGGTGAGACCCTGACTCTAATAAAATACAAAATAGGGCGGGGATGTGGCTCGGTGGTCGAGTGCCCCTGCGTTGAATCCTCAGTACCCTGCAAAAGTGGTTTACCTCAGTTAAGTAAATAAGTCATTGTCCCATATGAAAGAGCCAATTCATAATACACAAATAATGCAAAAAGCTCTTTCAACCTAGTTAATAATAAACAGGTTTAATGAGGCACTCTTGGTAACCACTCGGTAAGAGTTTTCAGAAAGGCTTTTGCTCAAGTATAAGCAAGTACTGATGAAGTACATGTCCCCAAACACAGTCAGGAACAGAGTACACTGTATGGTCCTTTTGCAAAGCAAACTGGCACCATGCATCAAGAATCCTAAAAGTGCTCACACTCTCTGACAAGCTAACGTCAGCCCCAGGAACACGGAAAGCCCCGGAATGCGTGACTGTGGTAACCTCGTGCTCTAGATCTTCTAAGAAAGCCCTCACTTCACAAAAGTGTGCTCTTTAATAAAAGCGAATTGTTAAATTTACAGTGAAGTTTTCGGACAATGGGAGCCATCTGTTTCAGAAAACAAGAAGGGGTTGTGCATCAGGCTAGACACCTGCACAGGAAGCCTCCTGCTCCACTGGGGTGGGGGATGGGAGTGGCGACCCAGCCCTGCCTGTGGCCTCCCCCAGGAGGGACTCGCTGCCTTCTGCTGCTCCTCAACAGCTGCTGAGCTGCCTCCCCTGGGCTGGACCTCTCACTGCCCTGCAGCAGCAGCCTGCCAGGGCTGCTGCCCACACCTGGCACCTCCACTCCATCACCCCGAAGCTGATCTCTTCAGGGCCAACTCCTCTCGTGTGGCRTGAGGGTGAAGTCTGAAGCTAAGGAAGCAAGGGCTCCCACAGAAGCTAGTCAAGAAACATGGCCCCGCGGACCCACCCTGGGAGAGCTGAGGCTCTCCACCACCAACCCCAGCTGGGACCTGCGGATGGCTGTCTGACAGCATGCTGAGAGGGGACCCCAGGGCCCACACCTCCTGAGAGGCCTCCAAAAACGCACACACACGGAGACTTGAACATGGGACTTCAGGGGGGTCCCAGAGGCCTGCCAAGAGCTAGAAGTCCCCAAGAAGCAGCACAGGCGTCATCTCCATGTCTTTTCAGGAGAGTGTCCCGTGAGGCMAACACACCTCTTCCTTTTGCCATGGAGAACTGGGAAGTCAGGAAGTACAGCCATGTAGTCGGGAAATACTGGGACTATCCAAAGAAGAAAACAAGCTCAGTGTTTTCAGAGAAAGAGGCCAAGCAGCTCTGGACAACTTGAACACCCTCCCTAAATGTCCAGTTTTTAGATAATCACCAATCCCAAACTTTAAAAAAAAAAAAGAAAGAAAAAAGCTTAACAATTATTTTTCTTGTTCAAACCTCTCACCAGCCCTCACCCACAGGTCTCCACGGCTCATGGTACAGCGTGATCAGGTCTTCCTGTGATCTTGATAGTCTCCTTTTTCCCAGGGCTTTGTAACAAACCCTGACCCAGCACACCTGCCTCCCCCCGTGGGCACGTGGACACGGAGGTTCATGCCTACAGCACAGCTCCCCTCCCTCAAAACCAGGCCCACTGCTGAAGCACCAACCCAGGCACGGGCACTGGGGTCAGGCCCTGCTCCACGGGTGGGCTGCCCTCCACGCCCATGCTTCACCCCACCCTGGGTACCCAGCCCTGCGGTGACCTCAGTGGGAAGGCCAGCCACCATCCTAGACCACAGGGCTACTTCTCCTGAGGTCCCCTGAGCTTCCTGGGCCACACCCAACCATGTCCAGACCCTTGGGGAAGGGGATGGAAGGACAGAAGTAACAGATGAAAGTGACCCTGAAGGCTTGGGGCTGTCTTTGTGTCCTTTCTTCTCACCCTTGCCTTCCGCATCCCCAGACTTCTCCCTAGAGGGCCAAACTGGAGAGAAGAGGGTCGCTCTTAGGCAAATGCACCTCAGGAGTCCAGGTACACGCGAATCAACTGAGACTGCCCGTCCCACTCTCCCTCCACTGGGAAACTCAACTCTGTTGAAACACTGATAGTCTAACTTAAAACAGGTTCTATTTGCCTGCRTCAGATAATGAAACTACAACTGAATATGAAGACTACATGAAAGCTGAGTGTAAATTAAGGAAATTCAGAAGCTGAAAAAGTAAAGGACATTTTGCAGATCTCTGTCTCTCTCTCTTTTTAAGAGGCAACCTTGCTTTTTAGTTGAAAACTTACCTTAAAATTATAAATTCTGTTGACAACTTGCCTAAATGAAGCTCAGTTTTTGAAAAGAGCAAAAATAAGAAGTATGATATGCATTTGCTATGAGGAGKATAGCAGACTCCAAGTACTCATTTTAAATTTTATATAGAAATGATTCTAAACAAAGAGGCCTAGAAATGAATTAAAGTGAAGGTGCAGTCCCAAACTGATGACACCCMAGTCCCGCAGGATGGAGCACTCTGGACAGCCCCGACACGCCTCCCACCGAGTGACAGCCTGTGACTTGTGTTTGCTGCCCTGTACAGATCTACACAGAAACACACGGCGCAGGTTCACATACGTGTGTCAGGCATAAGGACAAGGTATGAAAGATTAACTGTAGATTTTCTGTTTTTCTGAGCACAGATGAGCACAGGTGAGCAAGTCTGACTGGAGGTACTCCCCAGCATGTCTCCTCTCACACTCGTCCAAGGCACAGCCCATGCACATTCTGTCTAGGGGACACCAGAGGGGATTGCAGTCCAGAAAGGCCTTCATGTCTGCTTCTGAAATCCTCTAACTGGGCCACCTGAGACTGGCTCTCTTTTTTCAGCATACCATGGGTTCCACAGATGGGGTTTATTAATTTATTTACTTATTTTGTGGTTGTATATGGAGAGAATGCTTTATTTTACTTGTTTGTTTTTATGTGGTGCTGAGGATCAAACCCATTGCTAAGCAAGTACTCTTCCACTGAGCCCCAGCCCCAGCCTGTTCTTTTAAAATGCCAAATTCTGGGGCTGGGGTTGTGGCTCCAGTAGGGCGCTTGCCTCACATGCATGAGGCACTGGGTTTGATCCTCAGCATCACATAAAAAAAAAAAAAAAAGTTATCATGTCCACCTACAACTAAAACAAATATTTAAAAACAYAAAAATAAAATAAATAAATAAAATGCCGAATTCTAAGGCATTTTCCCAAAGATACAAGCTGAAAACCGTGGTGGAGTGTCCTAGGATGACTCAGGTAACTGTACCGACTTAAAGGCAGGGACAGGAGGAAAAGCACAGTTAAAACATTAGTCTATTAAAAAAACTTAAAGGATGTGAGATTCTCATTATTACGGAAATCAAATATCAAGGAGTTTATTTAGAAGGAACAGTGACGGCCTGAGGGGCCRCAGGCATGACACTGCACGGGCTCTCTGATCTGCAGCAGGTGGATCCCATGTCATCCGCCACAGAAAGGGACAGTCTGGAGACAAGCCAACTATGAASCAGCAGAAGCTGTGGCTTCATGTGATCATCTTAGGTCAGGAGGTACTTTTTGTGGGGTGACCCTATGAGCAGGGAGTCTTTCGTTCAATCTTTTCGGTTCTTTCAAATTTTTAAAAACTGACACTCTAAAATTGTACAAAAGGGAAGATAAACTTCCTTCTCATCTCCCTGTGTGGTCAGCAGGTTTGAAAAAATGTCCACGTCCAGCTGCTTGGGAGGCTAAGGCAGAAGGATCACATGCTTAAGCCAGCYTCTACAACTTAAGAGCCTGTCTCAGAATGAAAAAACAAAAAATGGGCTGGGGACTTAGCTGGGGGATACAGTGCCCCTGGGTTCAATCCCCAGCACAGTAAAAAAGGGGAAAAGTCCATGTTCTAATACCCCAGGGCCTGTGTACTCATCACCCACACAGCAAGCGAGAGATTAAGGCTGTACAAGAAATGAGGCTCCATTCCTTTTCCAGATCCAGGTGGGTCTGAGGCACTCCAGAGGTCCTAATAAGTGGAAGGCAGGAGGGCAGAGGGATGGATGCTACCTGCACGGTTTGAGGAAATAAGTGGGCCCCAAGCCAAGGGAAGCAGGTGGCCCTGGAGTCAGAGAGGGTGAGGAAGCCGACTGGCCTCTCCAGCCTCCAAGAGGAATGTAGCCCACGTGAAACCTTGGTTCTAGCCCCGTGAGACTATTTTGTACTTGGATTTCTGACCTCCAGCACTGTAAAATAATAAATCTGTGTTGTTTTGAGCCCCTGCATTTGAGTTAATTTGTTAAAGCAGCAATAGGAAACTAATACACCCTGCTTCCATTTACCCCTTCCAAGTACATGACGAGTCATGCTTGGTGGCAAAGCAATCACTGTGTTAAAAGTAACCTGACCAACGGCTTCCTGCCTCACCCAGCAGGCCAGAACACCAGGGAGGAGACAAGAACAAAGCATGGCAGAACAGTGGGATCCCAGGGAYRGCAGAGAGACTGGCAGCTGGCAGTACCAAGGAAGCTTCCTAAGAGTGGACAGACCCGGAGGAGTCTGGAGGGGCCAGCAGGTGAGTGCTCCTCCACCACAAAAGGAAAGCATACACTGCTTCTACCTGGAAGGCAAGGAGGGGAGCAGGATAGGCCTGTGCCACAGGGTTCGGGGAGGACAATACCCTGTCCACACATCTGAGGTTCAGGGTTACCCACCAACTCTCTTCAGTAAGCAGTTCCATTATTCACTTGCAGACAAACAGAAAACCTAACAGCAAGTGTCCCTTGGCATTTTAACATATCCATGTCAAAGTGTGCTCCTTCAAACATCAGAACCAGCCCTGCCAGGCACATCAGTCAAGAGCCAGCCTTCCTCCCACTTTGCTGCCCGGCCTTCTAAGTTCTGTATTTGTGCTTCCCTATCAAACCCCCGAGTTCACCACTTATCCCACTTGCCATTCTTCAATTACTCAGGGAAACAATGTTAATAACTGACCTAAAGCATTTTAAACAGCCTCGTCCCACTCCTGAGATGTCCAGCTACCGCAGGGGCCAGTGCTCTGGCTGATGGCCAACTGCTACGATGCCAGGAAAATCTGAAAGGAGTTTCTGTCCAATTGAGGGCGACTGTAGGTGTCGTTACCCTTCTCTCTGCAGACAGGAGTGCAAACTTGGTCTCCCCCTAGGCGCCCTCAGGCCCCAGGGACAGACGTGGGGACCAGGAGCTGTTTCAGACAGTAGCCTGCAGGAACACGGCCCAGGGTGCCCGGGTCCCAGGTCGGCGGGGGGCACCCGTCCAGGCTCCGGGCCGCGCCGGCTCTGTCATTTCGGAACAAAGAGCTGGACCGGGGCACTCAACTTCCAGCACCCGGAGGGCCGGAAACCGGGGCGCGGGCCAGGCGGCTGACAGCGGCGGCCAGACACTCGCCGCCGAGATCCGGGCGCCCGCCGCCCCGCGAGACCCTCGGGCCGAGGACCCTGGCCCCTGCGACCCCGGCCCCGGCGGCCCCTGACGCCGGCGGCGACCTCGGCCCTCCGCGTCAGAGACCCCGACCACGCGCCCCCCGCCCCGGCCGGCCCCGGCGCCACGGCCCCGGCCCGGCGCCCCCCGCCCCACGGAGGCCGGCGCACTGCCCCGCCGCCAGGGCTCCGCGTCCCGCACCACCGTCCCCGGGAAGCACCGGCCGCCGCAGCGCCCGGGGCGGCAGGGCCAGGCGCTCGGCGGCAGCGAGGACGCGCGGCCACACTCACCGTAGCTGTCGTCCTCCTCCATGGCGCGGCGCCGGGCTCCGGCCCGGGTCGCGGCTCTCACCCGCTGCGGCCCGCGTCCCGCCGAGCTCCGGCGCACCCCAGCCCGACCCGGAGCCCCGCCCCCCACGCGCGCAACCCAGCGCGCGCACGCGCGGACCGGGCCCCGCCCCAGCACGAGGCTCCACCCTCCAGCCCCCCCGCGCGCGCCCCCCCCCGCCCCCCCCCCACACACACACAGAGCACGCGGCTGCCTCCCAGGTCCGCCCCTGCGCACGCGCGTCCACCCGAGGCTCCGCCTGCCTCTGGCCCCGCCCCAAGCCGCGCCTCCAGAATAAGCCCCGCCCACGCCTGCCTCTGCGGGGACGAGCAGGTTTCGGGTTTCGTAAGGGTGACACAGGCCCTAGAGGGTGGCTCACCGGACCTGGCCCACTGCCAGGCTGCCCACAAAAGCCCAAGGTCGTGAGTGCATGGAAGGACATGGTGGTCCTAGGTGACATCCACCTGCAAAGTCAGGCCCCACCCCATCTTGCCAAGGAGGCCAAGCTATTTGAACTCATTTACTGCCATCTGAACAGTCACATAATGAATGTGAGTCCACTGCTATATTTCTTCACCTGCCCTCCGAATTTACCTGGGTCAAGTTTCAAAGGAGGACATCTCAGCTCCCAGCTTCAGGATTTTAGTGATCCTGAATCATACACCTCTTAGATTCACACGTGTCCCGACTGTTCCCTAGGTGTTTTATTTGCCTATTCTGGGCAGACCAGTTGAGTTGACTGTTGAGCATTAGCTGSTCATATGAAGGTTACATCTATTCCCCAATAGGTGTCAGCAGAATTGATGAACTAATGAACCAGCAAATGAGCCTTAAAGAATATCCTGGCCTGTGAACTGACAAGGAAACTGATGCCGGGGACTGGGGATTCAGCTCAGTAGCAGAAGCTTGCCTAGCTTGAGAGAGGCCCTGAGTTCCATCTCCAATGCCACAAAAAAAGAAAGAAAAAGAAAAACTGAAGTCCAAAGGGGTCRAAGGATCCCATCACACACATAGGAGATGAGATATGATGAGGTGGTAAGTTCCTGTCTGGGATCATGCAATATACCATACAAAACCCTCCTAGCCGGCTGGGGATGTGACTCAAGTGGGCGCTCGCCTGGCATGCATGCTYGAGGCATTGGGTTCGATTCTCAGCACCACATAAAAACAAAATAAAGATATTGTGTYTACCTAAAACTAAAAAATAAATATTAAAAAAAAGAAAAAACCCTCCTAGCCCACCAAGCTCCTACTTGGCCCCTTCAAATAATTCTCTAATGACCAGATGCAGTGGCCTGCACCTGGAGTTCCAGCTACTATGGAGCCTAAGACAGAAAAATCACCCAGAAATTCAAGACCAGCCTGGGAAGGAAGAAGGAGAGGGGAGGGGAGTGGAGGGGAAAGAAATACTCAAAATAGAGGAAGAGAATGTAAAAAAAAAAAAAGGACTAAATGAGACACTGGGACATTTGGGGACCTTTTTCTCTTTCTTTGTGATAAAGAGGAAAATCCCAAAGCTGCCAAATGGCARCCCCAGAAACAGCCTGGTCCCCCTCCAGTGACTCGTGGCTCCCGCCCCCACACAGAACAGTGCCTGGAGAGCTCCATGGGAATCCCTGGACTTCTGGGGGGTTTTAAGACTAGCCAAAAGTGGAGTAAAAGCCACAAAACTTGTCGTGAGACTCYTCCTGTTCTGAGCCAGTTTTCCTTCCTCAGGCTGCAGGCCTCACTGTGGTTCAGAGCCCCTACAGTTTTAATGGCCTTAGTCCCCAGCACACCAGCTTACACTTGCCACTTGGGAAACCTCGTGGATAGATACAAATGCCACCTGTGTGTGGGGGCTGCTGTCATGCATGTTCTGGAAGGAGACACAGAACAATTAATGGGAATCAACTGGGAAAGGAGAAGCTGGGACTTCCTTGTCACTCTGTGCTTACTTTGTCATTGTCTCTGTCCACTGTCTGGTTTTTAATCGTGCGAGCACATTACTTTTTTATTTTAAAAAATGCCATTCCTGGTAGCAGTAGCTTTTGGTTTGGTGCCTGCTGTAAAATTACAAGAATCTTCATTGTAAGGGAGCTTCAAGGTCATGCGTCCACMCAGGGCTGCCCTGAGCCTCCTGTGTATGCCACTGGACAGTATGCCACACCCAGGGCTGCTGGAGAACTGGCCCAAGGCTCTGGCCATGTTCCTAAAAGGTATCAGGACCTCTCTGGGAAGTTTCCATCAGAGAAGGTGTGACCTTCCCACTCAGAGACCTATTTCATTACTGGCCAATCCTAAAATATGCCTTCCTTCTAGGACTCCCCTGCTGTTGACCTGGCTCTCAAAAACAAAGTGATTTCCTCCCATGGAAAAGAAATAAATGAATTGGGGGACTGCTTTTGTTCTTCATCTGCTTTTAATTAGACTGTGACCTGGACAAGTATCCCATCTGGACCTGTTTCTCATCCATACATGCTGGCCTCCACCCACAACTGATCTCATTACATATCTATCATTGTCTTCCATTCAAACTCATCTAACTGCTGACTATTTCCAATAAATGACACTGATTTCAACCTATCATCAGCCTAATGGATCCTGATYTTTCCTTCCAGTGGGTGTGCAGCCTTGGCCCACGCTTCCTGGGCTCAGAAAACTATTCATGCACAAACAAAATTTCTCAGTCTTCTGAACTGCTTGACCCAGAACTTGACAGGCCTGCTATCTTTTGAACTTCTAGGAGAGCCCCTACTGTCCTAGGCATATCCTCTACATGTATGCTTCTTTCAAAAAACTGTAGTATATTAGATGCTTACCTTGTATACCCTATCACCCTCTCTTAAAAGACTGCTTCTGTTGTTTCATTGCCACACATGTGTGCATTTCCCCAATTTGTGGTTTGTTTTTGAGGTGCTGGGAATTGAACCTAGGACCTCATGCATGCTAAGCAAGTGCTTTACTACTGAACTATATACCCAGACCCAAGGCTGATTCTCTTGGATTCATGAACTTAACCTTCCCTGATGTCTCCAGATAGCCTGGTTCCACAGGCGACCCTGTGTCTGTGAGGTGGGCCCAAGTACCTGGTGGCYCCACTGCATTCTATTCCTATGGGCTTAGATGCAGGACATCTGAATTGACTCTTTTGACCTTGTGAATCTCAGTTGCCTAACCCAGGTGCGGTGGAGCCCTGTGCCTCTGCCCCAAATTTATGTCCATTTGGTCCATTACTTCTCCTCCAGCCCGAGTCACAGGAAGGCTCCTGACATTTCTGAGCTGCTTTCCTCCCTAGCAGTGTACAGRTATGCCTCCCTCCTGACCAAGGCTGGGAAGAGAACAGAGACAGCAGTGTGTTAGAGTCTGTAAACAAGTCAGGATGGCGCCTGGCATTTTGCCAGAGAAATGTTAGAGTTCGTAAACAAGTCTAGATGGCGCCTGGCAAAATGCCAGAGGGAGTGGTTTATGAAGTAACACCAGCGAGCCATTAAGTGTGGAGATTTCTTATTGGTTGACTG